CAATGTATTAAGTGAAACTAAATATGATATATGGAATACCCAAGTAACATCTGTGTATACTCTCCTCTGTAAAGTCAAACTAGTAACATCCTGCCCCCTGCCCCCACCATTGCATACGTATATGTCCTCTCCTGAATAACCATGCAGAAAATGTAGAAAGATACTAGGCATCCACACACATTTTAAGGGTTTGTGTTACTGGATAAAGGGATATTATTCCCACATTATTCCAATTGTGTGTGTATGTGTGTTTATTTGCACACTTCATACTGATTGCAATGAGCACCTGTGACAATTGTAATTTAAAATATATTCATAAAATCCTGAAGAAAACAAAATAAATATTGACGTCCTTCTGGAAACATCTACTTCATATGTAAATCAGGATCTGCGATAGCTTGCTTTGCTAATCTGAATCAGAAGGGAACCTTTTCATTCATGGAACCAATGATTTACCTTTTGATATGTCAACTAATGAAATTGAAATTCATGTTTTAATTTGGAAGAGATGTGGTATGTTCTTTACCTTGTTTCTGCCTGGTGCCAATTTTGATGTTGGGCATTCGCCATATGTGAAACAGTGCTGACACTAATACAGCTAGCACGTTTTCTGTGGACGAAAGGAACAGGCTCACCGCTGGCCTTCGGAATGGGGTGGACAGTCCACATGTCAGCAGCCCTGCCCGTTTCACTAAGCCTTTCTGTTAAGGGGTTGCATTGTTTCTGTTGAAAGCCTATTGAAAAATACTAATTGCAAATGTTTTCCATTTGATACTAGGTGATCTTGCCTAATTCTCTAGAGTTTTGTTCTTTCTTCATTTAAGTCGTATAGAAAGCGAGCCCATTTTATACTCTGGATGAGAGTAGTTTATTAGGATGTGTAAGAGGACACATGATGACCTGTGACACAATTTGAACTAGGGTTTTAAACCCGCATGAAGTTCGGGGTGAGGGAGAAAAACTGGAGTCATTTGGGGTCCGATGGAAGACTCTAAGGAATTAGATTGTATGGAAACAAAGTTTTGAGTGAAAAATCTTTCTCTTAATACTTTCATGTGTCCTGGGTCACATTATTAGGATGATCCACTTAATGGGGGGAGGCGGGAAGCTCACCATTATGCAAAAATGCATCCGCAAAATCAGATAACTTCAGTAGGAATTATTTTCATTACAGACTAACCCAGCAGGGTTCCTTTAAAAACCATCTCCCCTACTGCATTTAAGGGTGTTATTTACAGACGATTAGCTATTTGGCTGGGAAGAGGTACAATTTAAGTCTTAAAAAATCTAAGGCCAGTTAAAGATCCACGGAGGAAAAAAAATGCATAAAAACCAAAAAAAAAAAACTCCAGAGTTATCTTGTAAGTCAGTAGACACATAGGATCCAACATAACCAAAGGGTAATTTACACACACCTTTCTTCAGGAGCACAGCTGTTAAACAAATGAGGAACACACACATTTTCAAGTTAAAAAACAAGAGCATCCTACGTGATTGCTGAGAAGTATGGTAGCCTCAGCTTCCAGGGCAATGGTTGGATTCCCAGAGAAAAAGTCTGCACCCAATCAGAGCTCAAAGACAAAATATGTGACTCTCAGCCCTGTGCAAATCGAACCTGTTAGGAGGAGAACAATCCTGGATGACCATGAATATAACTCTCTCTCTGTGTGTGTGTGTGTGCACAGGCCTGCATGCAAACATGACCCTTTATGTGCTGGCTGACCTGTTGCAGGAAATGGGGAATGGCTCTATACTGGAATATACATCTAATCCGGAAGAGAAAAACGTAAGGTAATGTTGCAAAGTCAGCAGTCCACAAACAGCCTAGACCAAAAAGCCATAAAGGAGAAAGGAAACCGCAGCAATGTATCTTAGGGATGTGCAGACAAACTTAACATTCAACACCAATGCACAGCCTGTACATAGAAATAACTGAAGGCCCCTCTGTCTACCCAACTGGAGACGGAGAGGTCTCAGAGTCGCTCACCATTACAAAATACTAATCGAGCTTGACAATCTAAAGACCCTTGCTTAAGCATTGACAAGTGAAGATTCTTAATGTAAGAAAATAGTTTTTGTTTTGCTTTTTAATGGGGTAGTAAAATTAGCTATTTTCTTTAAAACTGCTCTATCAACAGGCATTTATTTTAATATTTTTGAAAAATTGCTATGAACCTAAGTTCTCAAGAATAGGGGAAGAGGTTAAAATATAACACGAAACAACAGAATACTATGGGGCCATTAACATATTTTTATGAAAAGCACATGGCATGATATAAAATGTGCAGGTAATATGACTGATACAATTTAGAAATGAAGGATTGTTGGATGCACATTATACAATTTCCATAATTGTAAATTTTTACTTTAAACATAGAAAAAAGCTACACACAGTGCAGTGATACTGTATTTTTAATACTAAAATCGACTCTTTAAATTGGAGATCAGTACACTTCTTCTGTAAAGAGCCAGACTGTTAAAATGTTAGGCTTTGCAGGCCACCTAGGTCTCTGGCACATTCTTCGGTTTTGTTTTTTCAATCCCTGGAAAATCTAAAAACCATTCTTAGTTCATAAGCCTTGTAACACAGGCCACGGGCTGGGTTGGGTGATCTTTGCTTTAGATGGTTTCATTTTCTCTGTATGCTTTGACTATTTTATTATGGAGAACTTGGGAAATATTTTCATGGCAAAGTGAAAGATGCTTCCCCAGTTCACTTTAGAACAGCTATACCAATTCAAACTAGTACACTTTTGGAGTTGTTTTGTTCACTTCTGTAAAGAAAATTGAAATATAGATGTTATATCATCATATAAAGCCATACTATCCAATATGGTAACCATTAGCCCTATATGGCTAATAAATGCAACATAAAAATGAGTGCCTCAGTTCCATCAGCACTGTGCTGGATAGCATCAAGATTTTATCCCAGACACTTATATAGGGCTGCAATGTTAGACCCAGCCCTATGGTAAGTTTTGGCACACCAACTCTCCTTCAGAAAATAATACAGAGAAGGAAGACCAGGTAAATGGAACAGTGATCAGATTTAGTCAAATGGACTCAGAAAGGCAGCTGAAGGTTGAATAATTTTCCCAGGTTCAGAAGACAAATCTGTTACACACTGGCTCTGGGATTGCCCTCCATTTCCTCAGTTGTAAAGCAACCATTGTGATACCTACCTGGTGCTGGTTTTGAGAGGAAAACACAAGGCTAGACATGTGAAAATGTGTAGTAGCATTACAATTTCAGGAGACACATGCACACACATTTACACT